ATTATTCGATTATCTGAAAGTGTCGAGCGACTGATGCACAACATAAATGATCACTCGTCCGTATGATGTGAAGGCAAACACATCACTTCCGGTTCTGACAATCAAACATACACCAAACATCGAAGAAGGTGGGAAATATGGAGGACACTTACACGAACGGTACCGCTGGCAAACACGGCTAAGACAACCAAAGTGAGGTCACTGGATTTCTCCTCTTTCGAATCGTGAGACTGCCATGTGTGCAAATGGATTACACGATCTAGGACGGACGAATGAGATGTTTTATGCAATCCGTTCGCGCCGGCGGATTCCGTGACAAGGCAGAATCGTTTCACAATCCCATACAAATGAGATTCATCAAAGTGAAGAGAGAACACCTGAGCCAAATTGAAGGGACCACAGCAAAAATTGAGTGAAAAAGAAAGTAAAGTGGAGCAGGGGCTTTGTCAGGCCGCTGATCTTGCTGATAAACCGTAGGGAATGCAGATAATAAAGAGTTATTACGTATAACTGGTAGGTTTAAGCAGTCAACCTTGGAGATGAAAAAAGCCCGATACACCTGCTAATGCTCTCAGATTCTTAAATTTTTATTTCATCCCATTCCTCACTGATCGACCAAATGAACAGCCCGAATACAGTAAACAAAAGTAATGCCTGCAAGCACAACTTTAATGAGTACAGAGGGGATTAATGATAGAGATGCTGTTACTGGAGAAGATAGCTTTCAACGTGTAAAAAATATCATACCTTTGTGAGGGCTCAATCAAAAGCAATTCACTACATAATCGAATCGAATCCGTCACTCCTATCAAGTAACAAACGGTTAGCTTTGGAACATTTCCAACCGAGTCATAAACTCCGAAGCTAGTGCTAAGATGAGCAAGGTGTGATACCGGTGACACACCGACAAAGATGAATCGTACTACATCCCACATGAACAAAATGAGAAACCGAGTGATCGGCTGCCCGGTGGCTGAGTGCGTATTATGCTTACGTTCTATCTGTGAGGTCCAGACTTCGACTCCCGGTCAAGGGTCGGTGGATTCGCGAACCGTTGACGAGACCCAACCAGATCGAAACAACTGTCCACTGCTTCCTGGCTTTCCTCAGTTCGCACTTCGTTTGCTCTGTGCACACGATCAAATTATCCATGACAGTGTTACAATGGTCTCCATTCGTGTTTGTTTGCATCTTTCTATCTAATGTTTCACCCACTTTTATTCCTTTTGTTTTCTGCGATTTAATTCGCAGAAGGGAGATCGAAACAACCGAACAGTACAATCCCCGTATAGAATTAGGCATCGGAAAACAAAAGAGGACAGTTAGTGAAAGTTATCCGGCAGGGAGAACAGTGCTGATTTCTATCTAGACAAAGATAAAGATGACGGTTCCTTCACGCACTGGCTAGCTAACTGAATTTTTAAAAAAGGGACTTTGGTATGAATATCACGTCGAAGCATTCTGTGAGTTGCTTGTCTGAAAGTTCGTTGTTAATGAAACGAACGTGACACATAAGAAGTAAAAAGATAGTTCATACGACGGAAGCGATCTAAAATTTGACATTGCGCACCAAAAGAATATCACAAACACTAGAGAAAATGAAAGAAATGGGGATAAATTAACTTCACGCCCACATAACCGTTAACACAGTACCTTTTTGAGTTAGTTTTCGTTGGCCTACCAGTTCCCCTTTTGAATGAACAATGACAGTAGTAAATGGAAGGGGTAAAAAGCTGAGAGTTGTACCAAGGTAAAGATACGCAATACAAGTTAATTCAAGGTATGCATAAACTGATCTAATCTGACATTTTGATATACCATACAGTGCATCCAGCTACTGAGGATACATTCATACACACACAAATGCACACACACTGGGGCGAAAAAGTGCCGTAAGCTCGGAGTCGACTTACGTTGTTGGTATAAAAAGATCGCAAAATTGAAATAAACCTTTTTAGAGCGAGGCAGCACCACAGTTTTAAGCGGTCGACTGAGTCGAAAAGCGTTTCAGATCGAGGAAGACAGAAATGGTGGGTCTACGAAAGGGGTGTCCACGTTCTAGAATTTGGCGAACAATCAAAATGTAGTCTATACCACCTCGATAAGGTCTAAAACCAACCTGGTTCTCACGTGTGCACTCTTCGCGTGCGGCAGACAATCGACGGAGTATGATGCCAGCGAGAAAATTAGAAGCGACGTTGATTAAACTAATTCCTCTGCGGTTTTCACAAGAGGACCTGTCGCCTTTCTTGTAAATCGACATGATGACCATTCCGTTGGAACCAGTTCCCTCTCCCAAACTGAGTCCAGGAGTTTCGTTTACTACAAAACCAAGGCTGAACCTGAATCCTTAAAAACGAATGGGGACAGCCTATCTGGGCCGGAAGCCTTGTACCTTTTAAGATAATTTACTGCTCGGGTAACCTCCATTCTAGATGAAGGACTGATGTCAACTGGCAGTTGAAGCAGGTATAGAGAGGTCTTGTGTCGACGAGGGCCAACTGAACTGTGCTTTAAAATGTTCTGTCCAATGTTCACAACGGTGTTGCTGAATATGAATCAGTGTGATGTCGGACTCCTTAATTACCTCACCTACGCCTACGTTCCTTGGATCTGTACTCCTAATTAATCGGAAAAGATTGCCACTATTACCGATATCCGCAGCCTTCTCTACCTCCTCTCTACGCTTCCCTGCCCACGAATTCAGGTGGTCATTTCTCAAACTCTCAATGAGTTAGCGTTTAATGGATTTGTTTTCACTATTATTTGCACTGCTTCCTTGATTGCCGTCCAGTGTTTACGGGATTCTTCGGCTGATGACAAAGCGTAGAACTGATCTGATAGTTCCGCCTCGAAGGCCGATTTGCAACCATTGCTAATACTGTATTGCGGGTATCCGTTTATGGTGGCTTTTCTGTGGTTGTTTACCAGGCGTAGAGAGACACTCGCTCGTAACAGAGCATGGTCCGTGTCCACATGTGTTGACCAATAGGAGAGGCAGTCTTAAATGGATCCTCACTAGCGGTGCCTGATGATGAAGTGGTCTATTTCAGTCCAGCGCTGGGAAGAGGCTGGCGGTCTCCATGTAAGACTGTGTCGTTTCTTGTGCGAGAAGTTTGTGCTCGACAGGAACAGTCTGTGGTCAGCGCAAAGTTTTAGTAGGCGTTCTCCATTATCAGTCCGGATAGCTGGGACTGCATATGAACCAAATATATGATTCGTCCAGCGGTCTCACCTCAGCACTGAGGACTCCAGCGACCACCACGATGTCCGTTAACCGTGAACTTTGAAGCAGTTGAGAGAGATCCGTCTAGAATTCATCCTTCAATTCTGGCGAACTGCAATCAGTCGGTGTATACTATGTAGAATACGTCTATTTAAATTGATAAACACTATGGAAACAGGAAATATTTATTAGAAAGAATGAATTTCGATGCTGCTTTGCACCAGATATTTTTCCAAAGCTGAGTTGTAACTATCAAACTACTACAAATTCAGTCACGACCATCAGGGTCGCGCAAATTCAAACGGTGATGGGTTTTCATACCCTTATGCCAGGTCTTCGTTTGACCACCCTTGACCTTTTTCCAACCGCTACCTACCTCGGCCAACATAGCTCGCCGTGGAAACCTATATGGTGACATGCGTAGAGAGAGAGAGGATGCTAACAGACTCTGCCTTAGAGGAACTATCATTGCATCGATGTACGAGAAAAAATACAATGAAATCGCAAGAAGCTAATGTTGTACTTTTGTCCGCATTACAGTGTGATACAAGGACAAATGCTTGATTTCAAAACAAACGGCACATTCATTTGTAGCTAATTTAACCAACTGAGTTATGTCATCAGTGCTTGAATATATATAAACCTCAGTCATTGCATGTTTCGTTACTTACTGTTTTACGACCAGGA